ACAGTGACCCCGCCCTCCGACCCATGCACAGTGACCCCGCCCTCTACCCACACACAGTGAGCCCTCCCTCTGACCCATGCACAGTGACCCCGCCCTCCGACCTATGCACAGTGACCCCGCCCTCTGACCCACGTGCAGTGACCCCTCCCTCTGACCCATGTGCAGTGACCCCTCCCTCTGACCCATGTGCAGTAACCCCTCCCTCTGACCCATGCACAGTGATCCCACCCTCTGACCCACGCGAAGTGACCCCTCCCTCTGACCCACATACAGTGACCCCGCCCTCTGACCCATGCGAAGTGACCCCACCCTGTGACCCATGCACAGTGACCCTGCCCTCTGACCCATGCACTGTGACCCCGCCCTCTAACCCACGCACAGTGACCCCGCCCTGTGACCCCACCATCTGAACCGTGCAGTAACCCTGCCCCCGATCTGATCTCATTATATGCAGTTTTGACAATATAATTTTGGAAAACTTTCCACTGGCAGGTTTGGCAGTAACCAGAGACACAACTTTAAGACAATTGGCAAAAGAAAAGTTCCAGGGGATAAATAAGGAGAATTTTTTTTTGTTTTATTCAGCAAGTTTTGCAATCTGAAATGCATTAGCTGAAAGGACAAAAACGGTACTTAACAAGAAAATATTTGAAGGTAAATGATACAAGAGCAGACGAGTGGCACTGATTGAACGTTGAAGAGAAAATATAAATAATATAAATTCACTGAATTCTTCAAACAATGGGGAAAAAAAACTTGGTGCACTTGCTGTGGTTTTGAAAGAAGGTTAGCAGTGTATATCTGAAACTTCAGATGTTTAGCAGATGCTAGCACCCTCCCACACAGGAAGTGTAAATTATACAGATCAGAAGTGAATTAAATATGATAGCATGCCAACATTTACCACAGTACAAACGTCAGCACCTGAAACCTTTAACTGTGAACCTGCAATGAAAAGTAAATAGCAATGTCTGGTCACAATAGAAAATGTTGTTCTGTTTAAGTTTCAACACATCATGCATTCAAATGTACGAACAGCTCCTCAATGTGCATACTTTATTACTTTGTAAGTATACTTTGAAAACATTACAAGAAGTTGAAAATATGGCCCCAGCAAGACAAAAGACATTTTCTAGATATCCACAATTCTTCCAAAATAATGTATTCCTGCATGATTCCCTAGATTAGAACAAAGACTATACATTTAAAAAGTATCTTGTTGTTGTATAAATATTTGGCATGTCCTAAAGTCATGAAAAGGGTTGTGTAAATTAAAATTACTTATTTCTTTCCATGTAGCTTGTTCTAAAGTCTGACTTAGCCAATGTGTAAAACAAATTTGTTCTTTAATGAACATTTCGGGTGGAATTTTGAGTACTCTTGTGATTTTGGCGCTGGTGAGGAATATTTAATCAGGTGGGGGATGGCAAGTGAAGACACCACCGTTTACCCACCTTCACCCCAAATGAGACTGTGGTAGAAATAGCCTCCCCACCCCACTACCAATTGAGATCCTAAAGGGCTTATCTTATTCTAACCCAGGAGACTGAGCATGTAGGAACCACAACTAGGTAACCGTGGCATTATTGCTGTCGTGCTCCTGGGAGGGTGGGGTCCCTTGTTTTAAGGCACTCAGTATCCATGTGAGGGTCTTGACATCAGAAGATGGGCCCCACTTCCTGTCATCACTCTGTACCTTGATCAATCCACAGTCTGAGGCCCATAGGTGATGCAGTACCGAAAGCAGCCACCTGTAGGTGTTGCTGAGAACAGAAGAGCTGTAGACTGGAATTCTTTCCATGGGTCTTTGGAAAGATCAGTCTGCCACTGCAGCAGGCCCTCTTGAAAAAGTACAATGCTGGGGTCTCACCAGCTTTTCGGCTGGTGATCTAGACCTTAATTGCCACCACAAAGTTCCTTCTTCACCTTAGTCGGCTGTGAAGGCGTTTACTCTGTCGATAATTAAGTCACAACATAGTACTTCACTTGTCTAATAATGGATGTTCAAAGTGACAATTACTGTGTTTTCTTTAAGGAGCCCAGTCTCAAGTTTCACTACCAGCCCCGGTGGCCTGGATTTTAGCTACTGCACTGTTTCTCAGTGTCAGCACCATTTGCTCCAACTAAAGAAGCTCAGACAAACCTTTGGTCACTTTTATTCAATCAACAGTTGTGAAGGGATAAGAGAATAACATGCCAATGATGCTGAGAGAATTTCAAGGATCAGTGCCAAATGCCTGACCCTTGCATGTTTGCATTGCTGTAATTTGGAGGCCTTTTCCCTTTGCTGCGTAGGCAATGGGGAGCGCAATCAGTTAAATTTGATGGACAGCAATATTCTGCAAAAAGCTCACACCCAGAAGGACTGTGGTAGCCAGTGGTAACACCCTGCTTTTGTGATATAGTCACAGAGATACTTTCTGTTGTTTAACTGCAGGTAACAGCTACTTTGTAACGATCAAGAAAATGTTATTTTCATAATGTTGAACTAATCTTAAATAAATCTTTTCTGAACCCTTTCAAGTTTAACAACATCTTTCCTCTAACAGGGAGACCAGAATTGTATGCAGTCTTCCAAAAGTGGCCTAACCAATGTCCTTTACAGCCACAACATGACATCTCGACTCTTTTGCTCAATGCACTGACCTATGAAGGCAAGCATACCAAACGCTTTCTATACCACCCTGTCTACCTGCTCCACTTCCAAGGAACTATATAACTGCACCTCTAGGTTCCTTTACACCCCTAGGCTCCCCAGGGCCCTACCACTAACTGTAGAAGTCATGCCCTGGTTTGCCATACCAAAATGCAACACCTCACATTTATTTAAATTAAACTCCATCTGCCACTCCTTGGCCCATTGGCTCAACTGAACTATGCTTTACAAATTGCTATGATGTTTTTGAGATGCTTTGAAAAATTGTTTTATTACTTTAGACAATCATGTAACAATACTTGCCTCAGAAACATTATAGAAATGAAGTAGAATATTGTCCCTTTCAATATACTCTCTGTGGAAAATGGTATTTTTCAGGAGAATGTACAGTAGTGGTCTGTCAGGGATAGTGGGGGACAATAAACAGATAATTCCTTACATTTCAAATAATATAGTTCATGGCTGCAAAACCTGTGGGGCGGCAGTGGGATTCTCTATAACACAAAATTGCTACGACAAACATTTGCCCACCTTAGCCATGAATCAAAGATGCTCGCCAAGAATTTAATCCATAATCTCATCCAAATTCAGGCTGGATCACAATTGGGAATGAGGGACAGTTTTGATAGGAACGTCTATTCCCAAATACCCACCCAAACTGGGATTTCCCTTAGTTCTCCAGAATAACTCCTTCCCTGCTCACTGGAAATTAATACATAAAACAGCAAATGGCCCTGGTTTACCCTAACACCTTCCTATTGCTTCTCAGAGTTGCTACATATAGAAGGTCACAGAGGGTTATGGGAAGTGATCGCTTGAAAGGAAGAGCCTTAGAAAGGCTTCCATTCCCTTGAAGCTGAGCTCAGGACTCATCTCCTGAAGGCTTAAGACGTAGTCAGGATTATCTTTTTCTTTTGAAGCTTTAGATTCCAGGTTCAGACTGGAGGCCTGTGACCAAGGGTGTTCTGCAGGGATCCGTGCGGGGCCCACTGTTGTTTGGATGAGACTTTCGGAGACATGGTTAGTAAGTTTATAGATACACAAAAATTGGTGGTATAGTCGACAATGAAGAAGGCTATCTAAGATTATACAGCGATCTTGATCAATTGGGCCAATGGGCAGGAAAATGGCAGATGGGGTTTTATTTGAATAAATGCCAGGTATTCCATTTTGGTAAAATGAATAATGGTATGACTTATGCAGTTAATGGTAGGGCCCTATGTAGTGTTGTTGAACAGAGAGACCGAAGGGTTTAAGTATATAGTTCCTTGAAAACTGTGTCACGGGCAGACATAAAAGATAACAAGGTGCAGAGCTGGATGAACACAGCAGGCCAAGCAGCATTAGAGGAGCAGGAAAGCTAACGTTTCAGGCCTAGACCCTTCTTCAGAAACAAAGTGGTTAAGAAGGCATTTAGCACACTTGCCTTCATTGCTCAGACCATTGAGTGTGGGAGTTGGGATGTTATGTTGAGGTTGTACAGGATGTTGGCGAGGACATTTTTTGAGTGCTGTGTACAGTTCTGGTTGCCCTGCTATAGGAAGGATATTATTAAATTGGAGAGGGCTCAGAAAAGATTTACCAGGATGTTTCTGGTGTCGTGATTGTAACAAGGTCAGCCAGGTGGACCTCATAGAATAAGAGTTCCCTGATTGGGGCTGTTAACCTGGTCCAATCAGGGAGCCCTGGCTGACAGATATAAACAGGCGTGTCAGGGGTTCTGTTCACTCCAGGAGCTGATTCGGTGCTAGCAGGGTTAGTGTCATGTAGCATACACGTGTAAATAAGGAGTTACTCGATGATGGGATACTGGCCTTAGTGGAGTTATTTCAGTGGTGTTGAGAATGAGATTGTGAGAGTGAGTAATGATGTAACCATGTAAAACTACCCACAAGCTGAAGCCCAACTGGACTTCAAACAGGCATTACAACCGGCTTTGTCATTAGAAAACGCAGTTTGTTGAGTTTAAGAGTTAAGGATTTTCCGATGGAAGTGGACACCCTCGCCGGGCCAACTGAGCTTGGGAACATCACTTGAGAAAGAGGGCAGGGCCGTGCTTCCCATAGCTTCAGGTCAAATTCAGCTGTGGCCTCTTATTCTGAATGTGTACAATCACATGTTGAAACACCATCCAGGAGACAAAGTGGCAAATGTGGATGCCTTGAGCCATCTCCCCAGTGGTACAGCCACTAGGAGGGTCTCGTCTAGTTTTAAACTTTCTGGACACCCTTCCGGTCACCGCTGACAATATTTAGACTGTGGACACAAAGAGATCCCATCCTGGCAAAACTAAAACAGCTGGTGGTGATGGGGGAAACAGAAGGGCCATGGCAACCAGGACTGAAACCTTTCTGGACCTGGAGAGACCAGATCACCGTAAAGGACGGCATATTACTGTGGGGAGCGCGAGGGATTATTCCAAGTAAAGGTCGCCACCAGATACTGGCCAAACTCTATGAGGGTCATCCAGGGGTTTCCAAGATGAAGATGATGGCGAGAAGTTGTGTCTGGTGCCCAGGACTGGAATGCAGACATGCTGTGTTGGTGAGGCAGTGGCCAGAGAGCCAACAAGGACAAAAATTGTCTCCCACACTCATGGGAATGGCCAGATAAACCATGGACTTGGTTACATGTCAACTATGCCAGTCCTTTCACGGGCTGTATGTATTTAGTCATTGTGGACACCCTTTCAAAGTGTTGGACGTGCATAGAGGCCATTCATCAAACAGAGGGATGACGATTGAAAAGTCGCAAACATCTTTTGCACTACACGCTCTCCCAGAGGTGTCGGTCACAGACAACGGGCCATTGTTTACTAGCAGGGAATTCAAGTATTTCCTAAAGTTGAATGGAATTCAGCATGTAAGGACTGCTCAATACTATCCATCGTCTAATGGTCTGTCGGAGAGAACAGGCTAAACTTTGATTGCAAGTTTAAAGAATCAGCCAACAGCTTCACTCAAACTGTTCCTGTTTGTTTATAGGACCACCCCTCACTCAACTTAGAGGGGCAGCTCCAGCATCCTTCATGCCTAGGATCATAGGATCCCTACAGTGTGGAAGCAGGCCATTCAGCCCATTGAATCTACACTGACCCTCCGAGGAGCATCCCATCCAGGTCCACCTCCCCACCACCAACCCTACATTTCCCACCCTAGACACAATGGGCAATTTAGCATGGCCTATCCACCTAACCTGTACATCTTTGGACTGTGGGAGGAAACCGGAACACCCGGAGGAAACTCACACAGACACGGGGAGAACGTACAAACTCCACACAGACAGTGGCCTGAAGGAAGAATTGAACTTGGGTCCCTGGCGCTGTGAGGCAGCAGTGCTAACCACTGAGCCACTGTGCCACCCATTCATCCTAATTTTTGATCCCCGTTTGCAGGGTTGAAAGCTATTTTTGTGGGGCTTCTCCTTTTTCCTTTGTTCCTTCTCAGTTAGAGCCGAATCCTTAACCTCTTCCCTTTGTCTCAAGTCATAAGTTTGTTGTTGCGATTGTATGGTATTCTTAAGGGTATTGATGAGAAACCATCTCTTGGCTCCTGGAAGAGGACACTTCTTCCAGTCCATGACTCCCATGGTTTCAGCTCTGGCTTTTCCACGCTTGTCTAACAGGACCTGTCTAGTCCTGTTAGAATTTTGTAGATTTCTATGATTTCATCCTTCATTTTCCTAAACTCCAGTGAACTTAGTCCCAACTAATCAAGTATTTCTTCACACATCATGTCAGGAATTAATCGGCTGATTAGTCTTTGTTGCATTCCCTCCATAGCCAAATCATCCTTTCTCAGATAAGGAGACCAAACTATGCACAATACTCCAGGTATGGTCTCAACAAGGCCCTGTACAATTGTAGCAAGACATCCCTCCTCCAGTACTGGAAGATAAAAAGAGATAAGTATCAGCTTCTTGGGATTAAAGAGAGAGAAATAGTTGTAGAGGGAGTTAGCAGGTTGTGGGGAGAGAACAAGTTATGTTTGATCCCCATATGGAAAAATTCTGCAGTTGAAAAATAGGATAGGTTGTAGATGCAACCGAGTTTTGTTCTATATTTTGGTAGACAGAGGCTGGATGAACACAGCACGCCAGGCATCATCTGGAGGAAAGGAGCAGTCAATGTTTCGGGTATTACCCTTCTTCAGGACTGGATGTGGGGGTAAGGGGAGCTGCAGATAAAGGGGGGGGGGTGTGGGTAGGGGTGGTAGCGGAATAGTGGTGATAGGTGGACACTGGTGGTAGGTACTGGTGGGAGGGATGAATCTGATTGGTGGCTGGAAAGGAAGGTCAGAAGGTGCAATGGAAAGGAGGAGATGGGACTGGAAGGAGAGCCAGGGGATGGGTGGGAAGGTTGAGTCCTCTGGGCTATAGAGTGCCCAGTTGGAAGATAAGGTGTTGTTCTTCAAATTTGCGTTTGAATTACTGCAACACTGGAGGAGGCAGGGGATGGACGTGTCAGAGGGAAGATTGGGGCAGGGAGTTGAAATGAGCAGTGACCGGGAGGTTAGGGTGACCATTATGGGCCAGATGGAGATGCTTGGTGAAACGGTCACCTAGTCTACGTTGGTTTCACTGACGTAGAGAAGACCACTTCGCGAGTACTGGATGCAATAGGCTAGGATGATGCAGGTGAAGCTCTGTCTCACTTGGAAGGTCTGTTTAGGGTCCTGAACGGAAGTGAGGGAGGTGGTCTGTGGACAGGCGATGCATCTTTTATGGGTACAGCGGAAGGTACCGGGCAGGTTGGAGTTTTTGGTGGGAAATGTGGCATGAACTAAGGAGTGGTGAAGG